CCAGTCATTAAATTTTTCTATGCTGGCTCCAGGTGCTCTATAAATACAGCTTATTACAACATTTTTCTTTTTTTCCACGAGTATTTCTACAGTCACACACTCCAGCAAATTGTCCACCACCCTTAACATTTTCTCCACTCTCTTATAACAAATGTTTTTATCTATGTACAAGGCCACACCACCTCCCATCTTATTCTCTCTGTTTGTGCATACCAAGTCATAGCCATCAAGGTCAAAATCCATTCCCCTTACATTATTAATCCATGTTTCAGAAATAGCAATTATATTAAAAGAATGTGTAAGACTACTAAGATAATGTTTTATACTCTGAAAGTTTGCCTATAAACTTCTGCTATTAAAGTGAGTTAGTGATAATTCAATCAATTCAGCACTTAAAGAGAAGTGCTGAATTGATTGAAATCTTAGAAGAGGGGGAGAAGAGAAAACAAAAACCTGCTTTATAAAGCCGGAGAAGGTCTCAGGGCAGATGAAGTGTCAGGTGGGTTGATTAATAAGAACATTTTGATCTGTTGAGAGTAACAGAACAAACTTAATGGAATTAGTGTGAGAGTGAAAGAGAAGAGCTGTGAAAGACAGGATGGAAGAGAGCGACAAATTGAGATGGCTGGTTATAGACGAAGATTTTTATCAGAGATGGAGCAAATGGAAATGAAGGCACTAACTGAAATGACACACTGTTGTAAATGATGGCTAATGATGGTGTAATTGACTTAGGCTTAGACGTCTGATATCACACGGTGAACTGTCTTCAGTGGAGTTGTGCGGTGACACCACGGCTCAGCTCTCATTTCTTTGAACATACTTTGAAATTTACGGGACATAAATTACTGGGAAAACACTTCCAGTAATTAACTAGCAACTTTACCATCATACTGACACCCTGCACAGTTACAGTATAGTTACAGAAGAAATTCACTCACCAATGTTACTAATACATACACTGGCTCTGATACACAGCCAGAAAGATGTCTTCCAGCATTAGTAGCTACAATAGATTGTAACGTCATACAGCCAGAAGACATGTTGGACTTGGAATGTATCCTCCTATTTCATCACTGTTAGTGTTAGTTTCTCTGACAGGTATTGATTTCACATGTTTGGGTATGTTCTCAGTGGAAAGGCTATCAGGCATTCCTATAGGAAATGTAGAGAATCATAACATTGGAAATAGAGATCATTCTGACTGGTATATGAGCTCAGGATTGTTTCAAAAGGTTTACTGCAATGTCTACATCATATTCTCACATAAACCAAAGGTGAAATCCATTGTTTTTAATGTCTATTATATTCTTCAAATAATAACACAACGTTCTGTCCTACAGTAGGAACATAATTTTGTTTTTGTTTCTGTTATTAGGAGGTGATTGAGGCTATCTCAGAGTGTGCCTTCAAGACTTCACCCTTCCCCATCATCCTGTCTTTTGAGAACCACGTAGACTCGTAAGTCAGCAGATCATCACATATCAGGAGTGCAGAAGCTACAGTATGATAGTCAGCCTTACCGGTGAATACTGTCCAACATCAGCAAAGCCCAGTCAGCCAGTTTGTTTTTTATCAGTCTATAAAAACAACTGCATAGCTATAGGGGGAAGGTTCTCATTGATTTGGTCCATTTGGTTTTTAAATGCTCCAAGGAGATTCTTAGCAGTAACATATATATTCAGTGTATAGTGATATTTTGTGAAGAAATCATAACTCTGTGTATGTGTGTGTTTTGTGTGTTCGATGGCTCCCAGACCAAAGCAGCAGGCTAAAATGGCAGAGTACTGTCGCTCAATATTTGGAGATGCATTACTGACAGAACCTCTGGAGAAATATCCTGTGAGTACATAAGATGCTCAAACCCATAACAAACACAAATGTATATGCTCACACACATTCAGGCTTGTGCCTTTCTCCCTCTGTTTCTCTCTCTCTTGTTCTCTGTTTGCATCGCACGCACATACATTTGACATGGCCAGCAGCAAGGGATTCAACAGTCATTATCACACAGATGAGTTCAGCAAAATGTCCTTGAGCACTGCTGCCCAGCCAGCCACCTGTAACCAGATACATTCAGGAGGCACAGACACATATACAGGCAGGCAGACAGATAGATGGTTAGATAGATAGATAGATAGATAGATAGATAGATAGATAGATAGATAGATAGATAAGATGCTCAGATAGATAGGTTATTCATTCATTCTCATAGGGAAATTCAAACATCTTGTAGCTCCCACACAAACACACAATAAACATAGACCATTATAAAATCTGCTACCACATAAAATTCTTGAAAATGCACTGAATACCATTATTGCACACATTTAATTACATATTTCTGTGTTCGCATAGTTTTTCCTTTCTTCCTGCCCTGTTTTCATGTTTTTTTTTTGTAACACATTTTTTTTAATATTGAAAGCTGTTGTATAACTTGTTTACAACAAGTTATTGTTTACTTGTTGTATAACACTGTTTTAACTTATGAAGATCAAGATTTTTTTTTGTTGTCAATTCACTATATGTGCAGGACAAACAGAAAAATCGACATTATGACGTTAGAAGACAGTCAGCGGCAGATTCACATATGACTTTGCAAAGGGGGAATGTATTGTGTTTGTGCAAACAGCAGGGGCAGTCTTTTTATGTCTTTTTATGTTCTGTGGTGGGGTATGGTCCAGGGGCAGAGGGAGGGAGGTAATGGACAGCGTTCAGCATCCTCACAGCCTGGTGGATGAAGCTGTTTGTAAGTCTGCTGGAGTGGGACTGATCTGGCTGGCTGTTTTCACTATGCGTTGCAGAGTCCTTCTGCAGGAGGCAGTATAGCCTCCGTACCACACAGTGATGCAGCCAGTGATGACTCTCTCAGTGGTGCCCCGGTAGAAGGAGCACACGATGGGGGGTGGGGCACAGGCTCTCCTCAGTTTGCGGAGGAAGTAGAGGCTTGTTTGAGGTTTCTTGGCCAGTGATGTGGTGTTGTTGGTCCAGGAGAGGTCTTCAGAGATGTGCACCCCCAGGAACTTGGTACTGCTCACTCTCTCCACTACGGCACCATCAATGGTCAGTGGGGGATGTTTTAGAGGTTTTCTCCTGAAGTCCCCACATTGAGGAAGAGGTTGTTGATCTTACACCACTGGACCAGTTGGCATACCTCACTCTTGTAGTTGGCCTCATCATTGTTGGTAATGAGGCCAACTACAGTCGTTTCATTTAAGCTTTCATATATTGATACCTGTTTTTTTTTGTATTGTGAATTTGTGTGTTGTATGTTGTACTGTCCTGTCTGAAACTTGTAATTTTTTTTTCATCTTGGCCAAGTCTCCCTTCAAAAAAGAGGGAGCCAGCCTCACTTGGATTTACCTAATTAAATAAAGGTCAAATAAAAATAAACAGCAAGACTTTCTCACATTCAGGGACATATTGACATGTCCTCTAGCACCTGACAAAATGTGCTGTTACTGGTTTTCCTACTTCCGTCACTCCCGGCACATGCTAAATGACCTCCTAGACTTTGTTTCTCTTTCTCTGGTTCTCATTTTCAATCACACATACAAACATACCTGTGGCTGTTTACATGCCATGGAAGCCAACATTTAAAGATTAATCCCATTATCATTTTTATTCCCCTGCATCACTTCCCTGTTATAATAGGAGAGACTGCAGTGTAAGATTAAATGGAAGTGTTTTACACTGTAATCTAAACGTGGCTTTTCTTGGCAGCCCTTTATCTGTCTTTCCTCTGTTGCCATGGCTACCAGTCAAAAGCTTGCTTTGTCTCTTTGTGGCGTCTTTGTGTGTAATGACGCAGGTGCTTACGTGAGGTAAATGCAGACACTTGTCGCACAAACTCTCGCGCAGACACTCAGACATCGATCGTGGTATTTGTTGTACACAGGAAAACTTTACCATACATAAAGTACAGTCCTGCACACATACTGTATGAACTTTAACGTACCACCTACTATTTTTGTGCTATTCACCAGGGAAGTCATGTACCTGTTGGTACCAGTACAGAGCAACTAAAGTTCCCAGCAGTGAGATGCAGCTTTATCTCACAAACGCAGAGCGCTCCTCCAGTGCTGCTGCGTAGACACAGCCTGCTGAGAATCACAGCCTTTTGCCTGGATTTGACATTGAAGTATTATGCTGGAAAAGCATTTAGAATGGAGTGGCAGAGGGAAGGAGAGCAAGAGAGCGAAATATGAGGAGAGAAATGCCAAAGGAGAATTTAGAAGGAGAGAAAGAGGAATCTGATTTCTACCACTGAGCATGTAATAACTGAGAAAGGTGAGTGCAATGACAACCACTCCCCTTCGGCATTGAGACAGCCGTGTATACAACATATCAAATGGGATATCAACTCCTTTAGTCCATAGGGGCACAGGCAGATAGGGTAATAAAGCTAGATTGGTTCCAGTTGAGCCTAGGGTGAGAACAAAGAGGATTACATTTTTCTTAGCAACTCAAGCTCCTCCTGTGTCTTCACTCCTCAAAGCTGCCTTTTGCACTGAATTCGAGAGAAAATGTTGACAATGTTTTTTTTAACTGCACACAGTTTATTCTTTCCAAAGTGAATAAATACAGAAAATACCTGAAATTACTTAAAACTTGGATTTGCCATGACAGCTTGTTTTATTGGCCTTTTTACTACATTCATTATCTTGATGAAGGCTGTTTTGCTAAAACATTTTCATTACTGTACAACCGCTGAATAAACATAAAATATGTTGGGTACAAAAAATTTTTTTTTTTTTGCAGTTTGTTTAGCCTTGTTGAGGCTTAGTTTTAAGCTGCAGACAGACCAGAACTGGCAAATGCACTCATACTGGTGAAAGGCAGTTGGGTTGTAGTGTCGGCAGAGCAGTGAGCATAAGCTGTTGGAGCTAGCATCTAAGGCTAACACTTATTTGTATTTACTATCTATCCCCACCCTTAATGCCAGACATATAGCATTCCTCCTACTCTGCTACTTGTAATAATATTTTACTATACAATATAAATGAGTAGCTGAGTCTGTAAAGTAGCATAAAGCACAAATACCTAAACACTGTACTTAAGTAGAGTGTTTGAGAAGTATTATCGGGTTGCATTTCACCATTAATCAGTGTCTGCTTTTGAGTGTGAGCTGAGTATTTGCTGCCTCTGCTGGTACTACTGATGCCCTTACAACGGAGGTTTGGGGATATATGAAAAAGCTTAATTGGATCTATCCAAGTAAATTATACTTTAATCTGTTAAATGTGTGTTTCAGTGGAGTTAACGCATCCAGTGTTTAACTGATTCCATTTAAGTGGAACTGTTTAAGTAAAGCCAAGGCAGACAGGAGCTTTGTTTTATTACTTCCCAGCAACAGCAGTAGAACAGTGTGTGTGGTGTGTGGCAGCTGGGAAAGTAGGTTACTGGAAGGAAAAGCTTGGCTTACAGTAAGACTGGTGTATGTATCACTGTTTTCATGCTCTTGAAAAAGGTTGAGTAAAAGTAAGAAAAGTAGCAAACACTTTTAGTTTGGTTCTGTTTAGAGCTGATAAGCTGTGAACACAGTGGTTTTGTGTGTGTATTGTACATCACTGCTGACGTTCTCAGCAATACATTATTAATATCCCTAAACACTGTGATCCAAAAGCAGTGTACCCCATGAATAAATCAGAGATCTGCCTACTTCCAGCCATCTCCCTTCAGAGGTGGTGTTTGTATTTAATGCTCACTTTTGCCCCAGGAAGCTGATTTTAATGTTGAAAGTGTAAACTTTTGAGTTGTTATATCAACAGACTTTGTTATGTTCAGTGCTGATCCTTGCAGAAAGCTACACTCAGCAGAATCTTCCAAAGTCAAGTTGGAACTTAATAAGACTGTTTTCTCTTTAACTGCTAATTTACATGTTAAATGATGGACTCCAGTCAAACAACTTCAGCATTTTCCCCCTGTAATTAGCTCATTTGTCTCCAAACTGCAACCTTTAGCCTGGCAGCAACATTTTGGATCTTGATTTATTTATTTATTTATTTTTGGTAATGTTTTTCTTCATCGTTTTAACAGTTTTCACACTGCTGGTCACGGAAAACATCCCACGTCTCCATTTTCCAACAAATCCTGCAATCATTCAACAGAGCATTACATTATTCTTCAGAAACCTTTCATAAACACCTTCTCTGTTTGTCTGTCTCTTTCTACACTCCTTCCAGCTGGAGTCTGGTGTGCCACTACCCAGCCCGATGGAGCTGATGGGAAAAATCTTGGTGAAGAACAAGAAGAAATACCACAAGACAGATGGAAGCACCAAGAAGAAACTGTCAGAGCAGGTTTCCAACACCTACAGCGATTCTTCCAGCGTGTGTGAGCCCTCCTCCCCGAGCGCAGGTACAGCGTTCCCTTTAACACACAAACATACACACACATACACATCGCACTAACAGAGCCATCAGGTCACACTGAGACAGCTGAATTATGATATTTAAGATGTAAAATGTAGCTTAATCGTCTGGGTCCATCTGCACTGTGGACCAGCACCTCCGTGTCGTCTAGAAACCCAGTCACTGGAGCGGAACGGTGCTGTTGTTTATCATTCATCATTTTCATGGCCCTCTCCATCAGCTGAAGGTATTATTGGCTGTTGCATACGCTCTCTATCAGGCATATACTGTACACTGCTAGTCACTGGGGTGTCTTAAACATTAGCCAGTAGTGGCCTTCAGTGTGTTGTCATGCAGCTGGGTGTAAATTAAACTATAACTGTAGGATGACATTTTATATATCCCAGTTTATGGATTGTTACAAATTCGCAGCTGTTCTCAGGTTCTAGTTTTCACTAATCATTCATACCTGCACTGGAGTTGAATGTGGATGTGTACAGTCATCCTTCATGTTGTTTATACTTCCTAGTATTTATTTATGCTAGCATGTTCAGTTTATCATTCAGTGGTAAATTTATGATAGACCTTGTCATCAGTCATATTTAGTTTACCTTGATGTCTGCAGACTTCATTTTTATAGTAACACACAATGCCCCCTGGTGGAAGAAATGTAGTAGCACAAATGTTTGTTTTATAAAAATCAAGAAGTTGTTTGAAAAAAAAAAACGAGGTGAACATTTATTACCCCATCTCCAGTAGAAATTACACCCATGTGGCTGTTTATGACAAATTTAAGTTGGTTGTAAAACATTTTATAAATAAAGAATGCAACATAAATACAGTAATAATTCAAAATCGATTACAGAATACAAACTTAACATATCACTGTATGATGTAACATAGACCTAACACTAGGCTATCAATGCTTCAAAGGAAGCTTTACTTCATACACCAGTTTGACCTTGTGTTGCCGTAGGATGTGGGTTTGTTGTTGATACAGTAAGTCAGTGTTTTTCCTCGCAGGTTCAACCAAAGAGGAGATGGCAGATTCCTCGCAGCCCACTGAGGGTGCTGAGCTCAGCCTGAGGCCACATGGCAGAAAGTCTATCGGTGAGTCATACATAGTACACGTTCAGGGAAATCTTTAGTAGACCCCCTTATTAGGCTGGTGCAAAAGCTAGACACTAGGTCAGTTTGACCATTACAATGTTAAAACTCATTTCATGAGTCAATGTGACCTCAGATTCAGTAGGAAATCATTATTAGATCTCTCATTATGTGGGAAGAGAGGCTGACTGAGTCAGATGGACCAAAACAATATTAAAATTAATTTCCTCAGTGCATGAACTCTGTTGTTTGGAACCCATGTACGCCTTGTTTGCGTCGCTGTTTTTATTGCAATGGAGGCAACAGGCTTATTTAAACGTTATCGGCTTGCAATCTCTCCCACGTTTGCCTTGAGTTTGTGGAAGTGTAAAATAAATTTATACACATTTAGCTTCATTTACTGTAATTATTTGTGACTCCTGTTTCAGGTGAGGTAGAGGCAGAAAGCGAAGATGAAGATGATGATGATGATGACTGTAAAAAGGGCTCAATGGATGAGGTGTGTATTTGCAAGTCAGCAGTCAAAGCATTTAATACTGGAGATTTGCAGCTCAGTCTGCTAAGTGCATGTCACGTGCTAATGCTACCCTCTAGTGTACACAGTTGATAAGACATTTTGTTCCTACTGATGTCTTCAAACTGCTTCTCATTATTAGTAGTAGTATAAACTTTAGTACAAAAACAGCAGTAAATTAATATAACTATATCATATTATATTAGAAACTATATTGTTGTTTTCAAGGATTATAAAAAGCTTTTGTTAAAGCATTGTGCTGCATTCCATTCAGATGTTTGTGTGTGTGTGATTTTATGTTCAGGGTACAGCAGGCAGTGAGGCATTTGCCACTGAAGAAATGTCCAACCTGGTCATCTACATCCAGCCAGTCAAATTTAACAGCTTCGAGGCTTCCAAAAGTATGTAAGAACAATGAACATTACTGTGCATGTATTCCAACAAGAGGCACATTTGAATATAGCTTACATCTGATAAAATGGAGTTCATTTGCAAAAACATATGCCATCTTTAGATATTTGCTTACAAAATGAGCAAGATTAAATGTTTCCTGAATATTCAGTCAAGCTCAGTAGAACAGCCTTAAATAAGTGTCTTTACAGCTATGATAAATTTAGACCTTGATGTTTTCAGTCTGCCCAGTGACCATTAGATCATTATCAACGCGTCACCATTTTTGCCCACAGAGATCAATCGCAGCTACCAGATGTCATCCTTTGTAGAGACCAAAGCTTTGGAGCAGCTGACCAAATCTCCTGTAGAGTTTGTGGAGTATCCTTCTCAGGTTTACAGAACAATGATTGCACTACTTAAAGAACTTAAGGACTTTTTTTGCGCTGTATACATATACATAGAGAGTTTTGTTGGCATACAATGTTGCTATAGGAGATTTTTCAGCAAAGATGATATTTTCTGTATTTCTCCAAATGAATGCTTTTTCTGGTCAAATGTACTGTAGCTACTGTAGTTTCTGTACTATATGCTTGGATTTCAAAGTGTGTCTATAGTAAGTAATGGGCCTAGTAGGCAAATCTCTGCTTTGTATTTTGTAGATTCCCCCATAAACATGCTTATAGTGACTGTCAAAGCTCTGCCAGACTCAGTGTCTCTCCAGCAGAGAAAAGGAAGGTCTGACAGTAGTTTGTCATGGCTAGTTAGCTCTGACTCTGTCCATGCTACACTGAGCATCGGTCAGTCCACAGACCCTCCATGTCACACATTTTGTTGCCACAAGGCTAAACATGTTTGGAGAGAGGCTTCTAGCAGAATTTGATGGTGTATTTAGCCTTTAGCATAACCCATAATGTTCAAGTCTAATTTGAGTTTTCTGTGTTTAGTTTCTTTTCCTCCAGCCTCATTTTACTCCTTATGCTTGTGACTTTGCTTCTTTGGCTCATCTTGTTTAATAGCAGTAATAATAAGACGGTACACATATAACTGTGTGTAATTTGGAGTCAGTAAGTCTTAATCTGAAGTAGCAATACAACTATGCTTTGTGCAAGCCAGACAGTAAACAGCGGCAGAAATGGTGGCAGCTGCAGTAGTCCTGGTTGTATTCTGCATAATGCATGTCATGCTGGTTTGTCCCTAACATGGCTCTGTTCAGATACAACAAGCTGCAGCTGAGCAGGATCTACCCTAAAGGAACCCGAGTGGATTCATCCAACTACAACCCTCAGCTCTTCTGGAACGCCGGCTGTCAGCTTGTGGCGCTCAACTTCCAAACCATTGGTGAGAACAGATGGCAAAAGAAATGTCTGTTATTTTCTATTTGTTTTCATATTGTCTAAATCTTTTTTTCATTCACACTGTTGGAAAAATGATTAGTTCACACATTTAATTTTTTTTTTTTTGGTGTTGTTGACCCATGTAAATACATTTTTGTCTACACAGATCTGTCCATGCAGCTGAACCTGGGCATGTATGAGTACAATGGGAAATGTGGCTACAGACTCAAACCAGAGTTTATGAGACGGCCAGACAAGCACTTTGACCCTTTTACTGAGAGCACAGTGGATGGGATAGTAGCCAACACACTCTCTGTGAAGGTATTATATGTGTATATATGTGCTGATCTGTTTTGTGTCTGTTTAGCTCTGTCTCTGTGCACATTCAATTATTTTTTTATTCTATCTACACCTTTCCAGATCATCTCAGGCCAGTTCCTGTCTGATAAGAAGGTAGGCACGTATGTGGAGATTGACATGTTCGGCTTACCGGTGGACACCAAGAGAAAAGCGTTCAAGACCAAGACATCTCAGGGCAATGCCATCAACCCTGTCTGGGAAGAAGAGGCCATTGTCTTCAAGAAGGTGACATGATCAAAACCAATTTCTGTAAATGCATAGGCATATACTGCACATATGCATGTATTGCATGGAGTTTGAGCAATACAAGTTATAACATTAGAGAAGCTTAGCTTACTCTGTCTCTGTGCACATTCAATTATTTTTTTATTCTATCTACACCTTTCCAGATCATCTCAGGCCAGTTCCTGTCTGATAAGAAGGTAGGCACGTATGTGGAGATTGACATGTTCGGCTTACCGGTGGACACCAAGAGAAAAGCGTTCAAGACCAAGACATCTCAGGGCAATGCCATCAACCCTGTCTGGGAAGAAGAGGCCATTGTCTTCAAGAAGGTGACATGATCAAAACCAATTTCTGTAAATGCATAGGCATATACTGCACATATGCATGTATTGCATAGAGTTTGAGCAATACAAGTTATAACGTTGGAGAAGCTTAGCTTTGTCAGTTTGATGTAATAATGAGTGCATTTCATATATTTCCCTCAGGTTGTTCTACCCACACTTGCTTCATTACGGATAGCTGTGTTTGAAGAAGGAGGGAAGTTCATTGGTCATCGTATTATTCCTGTGTCAGCCATCCGTCCAGGTGACCAAGTTTTGTTTCAGCACAACTCTTATTATACAAAATGTTTTCAAGCATCAATTGAGTTTGATCACTGATTCCATATTTTTTGGTAGCTAGAAAACAAAAAGTTATGAAAAACAAAAGGTACATTAGTATTTAAATCTGTAAACAGCCTTAATAATAGACGTGAAGGCAGCAGCAGCATCAAAATAATAGATGTAAGATCTAGATCGGCTGGGGAGACTCCTGGAATTGTTTTAGGCCTTCTGAAAACATCTCAATTCAATCCAGGAGATTTTTGGTGTTTTAAAATATTGATTGAACACATGGAAGTAAAATGCCAGAAAAGAAATGCAAATTCCAAAGGAAGGCAACTTCGGGGCATCAATAAAGGAACTGAAATTGCACACTTTAATTTTAATTAATGTAGTTTAGGCTACTTTTTGGTATCACCAGTCTTCTGTACTGATAGACATTAATCCTATTAAAATCCCACAGGCTATCATTACATCACACTAAGGAATGAGAAGAACCAGTCCCTCACATTGCCTGCTCTGTTTGTGTATGTAGAAGTAAAGGACTATGTCCCCGACACATTTGCAGGTAAGTCAGGTGAACATTTTTAAACCAAAAATTAAATTTTCTTTTACAGAAAACACTGCATGTTCAGTGTTACAACAAGGCTGTGTTGTTTTCTTTCTGCTCCTTAGATGTCATTGAAGCCTTGTCCAATCCCATCCGCTATGTCAACCTGATGGAGCAGAGAGCCAATCAGCTGGCTGCTCTCACTCTGGAGGAGGGAGGAGAGGAGGAGGGTGACAAAGAGGTGTGTGTCTACCAGCACATTACTCTCTCCACCACACATACTGGTCATCCCACATCTTAAATGGACATTTTTATCTGTGGGAAGTATTGTGCTACAGAACATGGAGATGAGCATTTCATCGACCAGCTGGCAGCTCCTCTCATTGTCAGGAACTAACTGGTAACATATGGTAGGCAGAGTTTCTTCAGCAAAAACACCATTAAGATGCAATTTAGAGGGAAGCTGCATGGGGAGGTTTACAACATCACCACACATACTTTACAGTAAAAAGGATGGATGAGCTGCAGCTCGTTTCCAGCATGGATGCCCATAAACCTTATCTACACACTTTATTTTTCAATCTGTGGTAAACATTTGCAACGATATTGGTGCTGCATTTTATTCCACCGCAGGCCCTAGTTTTACTGTAGGCTTCGTCTGGGGGACATCTGTCATTCTGACTGTAGTTTTGTTGTATTATAAGGCGCATGCTCTGTAGCAAGTGACAGGTTTGGAAGCTATATGTTAAAAAAAAAAAATTTATTTGTCCTCTACAAATGTTCTCACTTGAGTTGCTGAGTGATCCAATGCTATTAAGATTTTAGTGGCTACATTTTGCACATGACAGTCAGACAATGCTGAAAGTCTCTTTTTCCATTTCACAAAATTGGGTTGATTTGTCTTTGATAGTCCAAATAACATTGAATGAATGTCAGTTTCAGCTTTTTCCCGTTAGTGTCGCCACAGCTAATCGTCACACTGACAATTCACATGTTGACATTTGGTCTTTTTTAAGGCTGAACAGTCCACATAACATTAATCTTCCATAAACTATAGGTGAAATAGCAAATTTAATGTAGACGTGTTTAAAAAAAAAATCCTCCCCACCACCAAAAAGCAGACAAAGTCAGTGACTAACTAGTGAGCCTTGGAGTTAATAAGCCAGATATTCTCCCTGAGGGTAGAATGAAACCAAAACAGAACTAAAAATTGTCAGGGCAGTGTGGAAACTACACCGCTAAAATGTAGTGAACCCAATTAAATGGCCAGTATAGTAAGAGTCTGTATTAAGAACACAATGAACAGAGAAGACGAGGACAGGGATAGCAGGAGGCCCGAAGCAACTCTTGACTGAAGAAGGGGAGATGAAGAGAGATGGGTGCTGACAGTGGGTGCAGAGTGGTTCCGGCATCACGTGGGTGTATGTGGAGGCAGAAACAAACAAGACACAGTGCACTTAGACAGAATCCATGAGGTAGGAAACACTTCATCCACAGACATGAATTTCAGTTCAGAGGCAGTGATTCCAGCAATTCAGAGAGACGGAAAAAAAAAATATTTTTCACAGTATATCTTCATGGGCGTCTTCAGGAGTCAAAAAACAAATCACACTGATATTACTCACAATCTTTCAGAGACAGTCCAGGAGTGTAGTCAAGATACTAATCCAAAAGTCTGATGGAGCTCATGGTCTTTCAGAGGCAAGGCTGAGGTGTAGTCAAGGTTCAGGTCCAGTTGCACGAAGGCACAAGAGATGCAGAATGGCTGGAGAGCTGCGCATGCTGTCAGGACATTATAATTATTATTATTATTCTGTTTTTTAATGGTGGTTGGCAACCAGCTTTAGGTGCATTACCGCCACCTTCTAGACTGGAGTGTGGATCAGAACAGCCCCTACCTACCACTATAACAAAATAACCCCACTCAGTTCACTTTATATTATCTTGTGTAACCCTCTGCTCTCTAAAAGCCTAATAAGTGCTCTGTATCCTATATCCCCTGACCTTTGTCCCAACACCTCCAGTAAACTAAAGTTGATTCCACCTCTTAAAACTATTTTTGAATAATTCCCTTTCCCGCCTGATCCTGGGACAGCTCATTAGAACATGTTTCTTGTACCCTACACCTCTCACATTCCCTTTTCTCTTTTTTCTTTCTCTGGGGATCATGACAAAAAAAAAAAAGATTTAAATTTGACAGATGATTAGAAATAAAACTCCAGTTGAATGCTAATGTTTCTCCATGTATGGTGGATGTGTAAATAAGCAACAGCAAGTAAACTTGCATCTTGATATGCTGCCCCATCACATAACAGTTAATGCAAGGTTTAAGTCTAAGTGAAACGCTAACCATTTAAAAACCACTTTTCACTTTTTGTACACTGGAAATATGCCAGTTAAAGTGTATGAATTTAGACCTTAGTTGAGTGAACTTCAACTTTAGCACAGGTTAGACCAGTATGAACATAATGTACTGTAAATACCAAAGAGCTCAGTAAGTTTTAACAAGTCAGGTCTGCTGTGGAGAACGTGACCTGCTTTGTCCCAAGTGGCATCCAAGGAAAGCTTGCACTGCTAAAAACGCACTCTAATTGTCCATTAGCAGCAGGAAACATGATGTTACTGAATTTGTTCATTTATAAATGCTGCATTAAAAGTAAAGTTACAGCAGTCTTGGTAAATGGTAAATGGACAACAAGCACAAATAGATAAGGTTAATGTAGGTGCAGTGCAACCGGGACGAAATGAAGGAATAATATCTAAGGAGAGATGTGAATAGTAATGATTTCTAGGACAAAGACTAAAGTTAGGATAGATTTAGAGTGTGAGGCAATGATAGATACAGGGTTGTCTGGGGTTAGAAAAGGTGACTAGAAAGAAGGGTTGTTCCTGAGGGGCGTCTTTTATCTGATTTACCAGCTGATATGACCCATGAGGATGGCTGATGGAAAACTGCTGTCACGCTGTGACCATGGCAACCAGAAGAGGCAGAGCAGTGTGAGGACATGAATGAATGTAGAGAGAGCAAAAGGGAAGCAGAAGATCTGACTAGCATGACTAGAACAGAGATTATATAAAATTGCATTATCCTTTCAGAGATAAGGGTGACGGCTTGAGAGTCAGCTGAGCTGAGGGAAATTAAGATCTGCCAATCTACAGCACAGACAGTAATGCTGCGAGTGGGTTACCAAAGTTATGTCTACAGACTATCCTGCATGACAGAGGTACAACAGGAGACTTTTGAGAAGAGATACCACTATTCCTAGGAATGTATTTTAAAGTCTAAAACTTTTCAAGCAATTGAAGCCTCCATGGCACTGAAGGAGATATTCAGTGAGTTCAGAGAAAGTCCAAAGAAAAACTGTTGCACTGGTAATTCTTTCATAAGCTAGCAATGGAGAAATGTGTTGTGGGTATGTGTGGCAAATATCTGCATCACTACTGGCAAACACTGACCAGGTATACAGTATGTGCACTACTCATTTTTTGCTGTGCTTCTCATTTAAGAAGCTCAAGTGGATGATAATTTAAAATGCTTAATTTGAAGGTTTGTGGTATTTTGTATGATGTTCTGCACACAATTTGTCTCTGTATTTCCTGATGTGCTGACTGTAATGATCCAAATGTTGAATCTTTCATACGATGTGGGCAGGTAGAGGCAGGAAGTGATGCCCCCTCAGAATCTAAGGTGGACCAGAGGGTAACGTTGCCTGCAGAGAATGGAGTGAGCCACACACCCATCCTCGCCCAGAAACCCCCCTCGCTGGTTGGCCAGAACCAGTCTGCAGGTGCTGTAGGCATCATATCATCAAATGTATGAAATTCATTGTAGGTGCACTGAAAGTTGGATGTGCATTGTTCTTCTTGTATTATTTTGGAATATTACAATTGCTTCAGGTAACATTTTTCTCCAAAGTAAATTAGATAAAAACATTAAAATTGTATTATATTTATAATATAAGGAAAATATGCCTTTATTCTTAGATGAGAAAGTCTTAGTGAACATTCAAATGTTTCAGTTAGTAATCCAATTTTTTAAAATTTTATTTCATTTATCTATTATGTGTGTGCTCTTATTTTGATGTTTCAGCGGGATTAAAAGATTAAAATGTGTGTATTATTGTTTTGGTAACCAGGCTCACTGAAACCCTCAATGAAGACTGAAGACATCATTCACAGTGTTCTTACTGGTAAGATCATGAGCACTTGCTCTTATACTATCTGTTACTGATTGGATTGCATGTACCCCACGCTATATGTAAATCAATGAAATATTTCTTTGACCTCCAGACACTAAGCAAGAACAATGAATATTTTGTTTTAGTTTGTTGTTTATATTAATGATGTATACATTTGCAAGATTGGGTTTGAGAAAGTTAATACAGTACAAAGGATGGTTTTTCTTTTTTAACAAGAAATATTTTGTTCACTTTTGTCACATTTGTCTGTGGCCTTTCATTCTTGGTCTTCAGAACTGGAGGCTCAAACTGTGGAGGAACTGAAGCAACAGAAGGGCTTTGTTCGGGAGCAGAGGAAGCAGTACAAGGAAATGAAGGAACTGGTTCGGAAACACCACCGCAAGACCAGCGAGCTGATCAAGGAACACACAGCTCGTATGTCGGAGCTCCAGAGCCAGCATCAGCGTCGGCGCTCCACCCTGCAGAAGAGCCACAAACGAGACGGTAAGAAAAGGTAGGTAGCCCTCCTCTCCTCCTTCAAGCTGTTCCACTGTGTCTTTCCTCTAAAGGCTTTATCCTCTTCTCCATCCCTCTTCAGAGGAAATTTGCCAAAACATAATAATATACAACATACTCAGCTATAGGCTGTCATTCTCTTATATATAATACATAATGTCACACTTCCTGTATAGCAGCCAGTATTTTCACTACATGCTGTAGAAAAGGGAAGGTTCAGGCAGCGGTCACCCAGAAGCAAAGGCTTCTTTATAAGCCCTTACAAAAACAAGACACACCATTATATCAATAGATCAAAATGAAAGATGCTACAGCTTAAGACTGCAACTCACTTGTTCTTAACCATAAACAAAGCTTTCTTCTCTTGAGCATGTTTTCATCCACACAGACTTATGTGTAGCTCACAGTTTTAACATGCAACATCTCTTGAGATTGTGAGACATTCTGGTAAATGTAGTAAATTAGCAGAAATAAATTAGGCAAGCTCAGCAAAAGTACAGCACTACGGAACAAATGAACCTGTTCCACATCAGGGTGATGTATTATATAGTATGTTATATATCCGTTTTCATATCCTGCTTCCTTTCTGTCCTTCTTCCATCTACAAAACAGCACCGTTAAATACAGCAGAAACTGGCCTCTTCAGAAAAATAAAATAGAATTCTGTGGAGAATAAGAATAAGTAGATAAGGCTTCCTCCAAGCTTCAGGGACATGAACTTCAAACTCTAACATCAATGTTGTTAGCACCACTGCCTGAGAAAGTCCCCTGCAAACATGTAAAGAATGTTAAGTTGTTCAAGAGATCCAGGAGAAAGTCAGTTACTGATGATTGCTGATTAGAGCAATTTCATTTTATCAAACAATATGCATATTACATGCATTTATTTACAATGTCCAGTATGAGTGTGAGTAATGGCACGCTACTGACATTAAAGCAAGCATCTTAATTTGCATGTGTGTGTGTGTCTCCAGCCGATCCGAGCAATCTCTGTCGACCCTGGACCAGGAGCTGTGTGAGCTGGATCAGGAGAGCAGCCAGAGGCTCACAGAACTGAAGGAACAGCAGCAGCAACAGCTCCTCAAACTTCGCCAGGAACAATACTACAGTGAAAAGTACCAAAAACGAGAACACATCAAACAGGTACTCACAAACATGCATAATACATACACACAGTCAGTCACAATAAATCTGTCTCATAGCGTCCTCATTTTACCAGCACTACTGTGGATTGTATTGACAAATCCCTCTTATTTGCATGTGGATACAAGGTTCAAATTTATTTTAGGACCTTAAAGCTCTCTTGAATTTTGTAGTTAATAGCCAAATAACTGAGAAATGAGTCAGAATTGGCATTATCATTCATCTCATATCTGTTCACCAAATGTCCATAAAGTATTTTATTATTATTGTAAGGTCTGTAGTACATATATACTCTATAAGGTAAAAGGCTGAGCAGAGCCCTTGTTGACAAATCTGATTCCCTGTTATCTCTGTACATCTGTTAGTGGCCTTTGCCACCACACAGCTAATTCCATAATTGTGTCTAATGAGCATGTGTGTCCTCATTAAGCTCTTGTGTTGTTCTGGATAATATGCTGACTGTCTACTATTGTCCCAGGCTAACACTCATTGCCCATGTCCAACAAATTAGGAAATGAATGCAGCAAATCAACTCCAGATCACCCCCTGTAGTATATTACAGGCTTGGTTTTGCTGCTCGTGCACATGTTCTGTTGTGTGGTGTGGAAAAATAAATGTGTTCTGCTTCAGTACACCTGCACAGCTGAGGTGTCACAAAGGTTTAGTCACGTAAAAGGAAAGAAGCACAGGAGAGGAGACTGTGTGTGCTGTTGAAATGAGATCATGACTTCAGTCTCAACCAAATTATCTCATGTTTTTTTTGTTTGTTTTTTTTTACCTACTGTCACATCATGTCTCTCTCTGTCCGTCTTTTTAGCTGGTTGAGAAGCTGACCACTATAGCAGAGGAATGCCAGAGTGTTCAGCTTAAGAAGCTCAGAGACATCTGTGAGAAGTAAGACTTTTCAGCGTGCAACATTAACACACCTTCGCATAGACCTTCAGAAGTCCTACATGTTTCTCTCTCCATATCTTCCTCTCTCTTTGTGTCATTGTACACAGAGAAAAGAAGGATATTAAGAAGAAAATGGACAAGAAAAGGCAAGAGAAAATCAGTGAAGTCAAATCTAAAGACAAGAATGTAACAGAGGAGTAAGTATTTGTATGTGAACTGAGATGTCACATTTTTATGGCCACTAGATGGCACTAATTACTACAGATTTGGTCCAGTTGTGATTGTTGGTCAAATTCTCCCCATAGAGAGAAGCTAGAGATCAACAGATCATTTGTCAATGAGGTGGTGCAGTACATCAAACGGGTAAGAAAAGATATGGCTATGGTGTGACAGAGAATAATGAATACAGTAATGAACACAGTGTAGCTTCTACAATCAAAGCCTTACAGTTGTTTCAAATTCAAATATGTATTCAATACTATTTGTGCAGCTATGCATAAGTCTACAGTACATTCATTTGTGGGTACAGTAATATTGCTGTTGACATGCAAAGACTTTATAGTATCTGTGTGTGTGTGTGTGTGTGTGTGTGTGTGTGTGTGTGTGTGTGTGTGTGTGTTTGTAGCTGGAAGATGCGCAGAGTAAAAGACAGGAGAGACTCCTGGAGAAGCACAAGGACATCCGCCAGCAAATCTTGGATGAAAGGCCAAAGGTAAGAAAATGTTAAATAAAACTTAACTGTTAACCAAATGTTTATTTGTGATGTTGAGACTCTACATATTGATTTTTTTAATTTTTATTCCATCACACAGAATCCAATTTATGTTCCACTTACTGGCCTGTTGCATGGCATTAGGTCTCAATAGAAACATGTGTCTTGCCTACAAATGGCAGCCACCACATTTTAATAAAAATGTAAAAACAAAATATATAAAGGGGTCAGTTTTTGTCAGGTTTTCCGGGGTTTTTTACTTCAAACACTGCCCAAACTTGAAAAAAAGGCATGAGCTAATCACAGGGGATGCAGGAATAACTCAGTTTTTTCTACTTTTGTCTTTTTTATTGAAGCTTTCTTCAGTAGCACGGGGCAGAAGCAAAACAGGTTGATAACCTTACAAAAGGAAAATGAGAAAGAAAAATACAATGTAACATTATATTATTGTTACCAACTTTATGGGCGCTCTAATCCCACATTGATGTTTAAAAGAAATACAGCGTCATGCACCCTCTGTACAAATGACTGCACATAGCTAACTTACATAACACAAAGTAGGAACATCTTGCATAAGACGACAAACCCGCATGGCTAATTAGCATACCATACTGAACACAACCATAAAACACTCTTTTCATTTTACATAAAATCAGTTTCCATACCAGTGACATCCCTACGATTAGCCACACCGGTGAAGTATCCCCTCCTTATTCCAACTGGAGTTAAACAGACATTTCCACACTTTCAACAGAACCTCAACACACAACCTCTTCTCAATTACTGTAATTAATATATTTCCCCTTTTTCTTGTAATTTTACGTTTTGTTTCTCCCATTTTAGACTAACATTACATTATCCCAATTCCAATTTTACAGTTTTGTTAACAGAATAATATTAACACAAGGAACAGTAGGTGTTGGTTTTCATAGATCAAGCCTCAGGGTTTCACTTTTTACACGAGAACAACCATTTCATTTGACCCAGACTATCAAAGTAAACACTGCTCATTTTAACCACTGGGTGGCGACCTGGGCCAGGTTTAGTGAGGTTCTGTACTGTGTGGCGCTGTTGATTAAGAAGTTTGTTGCAGCCTCTGATTACAAAATGATATTTGAGTTTTTCCCCTTAGGATTTTATTCTTATATTAGAATATATCATACCAGATGTAAATGCCAATTTCTGGGGTAACTGATGTAGTTGCCTGACATACTGTATAAACAGTGTCATTAGGTGAAAGAGTTGGTTATATATTTGGGAAAAGTGGATAATTAACTTAACATACTCGGCTATATGCTGCATATACATGTGTTTATTTTGAAGTGGATGCTTCAGTGTTGCTATGGGAGTTTTAGCAGGTCTGCTTTGCCTCTATGGGTTGCACAGTCCCCAACCTTGTCACTGTATGGGGATTTTGTAGCTGAAGACCATTAATATAGCATCAGTGTGGCAGTGTTAATAAGAAATCTGCCTGGGCCACTGACTGGCAGCAAGTGAATTCACATTGCATCTCTATAATGTGTGAAGCCTGCCAGTCATTAGTACCATGCAGAATACTTTATGGCATATTGTATAGTGTGGCTGTATTGCTGCATTTGAGCAGTAGTCAGTATAGCATGGCAGAATAACATCATAACAGGGGCAACAGATTGGCTTGTATACAATGAAATCATATCCCAGTTGGAGAGCTCAGTTTTAATCCCACCTGTCGATGTGTCTTTGAGCAGGAACCTCTATGCATGTCAGAGAGTAGAAGTGAGACAGCTTCAATATTTTGAATTATTAATAAGGTATATCAAAACAAATTTAAAGTGTATTTTATTAAAAGCATAAAAGACCCAGTCACTGCAGTAGCATAGTTTTTCTCTGGACCCTGTAAGGAGGCATAGTTGTCTGACTAGCCACATATTTGTAATTAAAGACCGTTATACTAATTATGGACATTCAGTTTGGCATGATCATAACACACTTGAGTATGTAGTTGTTCTTCCACTAAACACAAAGGTAACCAGTTGCTTTCTCTGCTTGTAATTGTCTCTCCTCATTTTGATCTCGACAAGATATTTAATCTAATTCAGTACAAGCTACATTACAGCACACTGCTGTGATCCTTTGTCATGTTTTCACTCATCAAATGAAGAGGATCATGTACATTTATTATAACTACTCATGAGGATGTGTTTTCTTCTGATTGGGTTCCATACTGAAACCACCCACGAAGTGACAGCTCCTTTTATCTCTGAAATCGTGGTTAGTTTGCACTCTGTTCAACTCTGCGAGGTTGTTGTTCCTGAATGCGTTTTTCTTTTAAAAGCAACTGAAAAGACTTAGTTAGCCAGAGGCTGCTTTTCTGACCGAACGCTGACAGACAGTAGTGCCCTTACAACATGTCTCAGTCATTTTGGTCAGTGTAGACTTACAGAGGGAGACCCCAGTTCTTTAAATGAATGGTAGTTATATTCCATGTATGTATTAAATCTGTTAAAGTAACTAGCCCTCCTTAGTAGTATGTGGAAGTGTCCTTGAGCAAGACACTGAACCCAGAACTCCTCCCAGTGAACAGATCATTGGCCTTGCATGGCAGCCCTGACACCATCTGGTTGTGTGTGTGTGTGTGTGTGTGTGTGTGTGTGCGAATATGAAGCATTTTACAGCGTGTGGCTCTTAATAATAAAGCTGGTATGTGAATGCAGTCCATTCACCATGGATAACATTCCACAAGTTGATATTTAGGGCAAAGGCAGATTTTGCTGACAACCTCTGTTGATTGGTAGATAAGCTCATGGGAAAGACTTTAAGAACTTGGATGAATGTAAATAGATTCAGAGAAAGAGTGCCAGTGGGGGTGAATGGATGTGACCATAAATACAATAATTAGGGCAGGTCTAATATGAAAATATATGTTGTTGTTGTTTGTGTGTGTGTTGGTCTTTATGAATCAGAGAGGAAAATACAACATACTTTCTCTGTCATACAGTGCTGACCCAGTTTCTCCTCTGGGCTCAGAACAGCCACTAATGGCCACCCTATGGAGACCCTGAGAGCTGAGCAGCCCACTACACTGGTAGTTGTGTGTGTATTTACATACATGTGATACACCAACCTAATAATTAGCTACAGTATCTCTGCTATACAATTAAGCAACTAACAGCTGCTTAGTACAGACATCACTAGGTGCAGTTTGCAAACAATTTGATGATGAAGAGATGTGAAATGTGACAGAGATGTTGCTATAATCTCCAAATTTGGCATTATTAAGAACCAGCACATACAGTAATTCAGTAGTTTTGTAAGACTCTGAAATCCGAGGTCGTGATAGTGTGAGGGTCATCGGTTAAATTGAAAGTGAGGGGAGAAATAGAGAGAGACATGGTGATATTTTTCCTCACTCCCAGCCTGTGTACTCAGGTGTCACTGTCCTGCTAATGATCCAGTCAGAGTTCCCCACCACCCTCATCAGCAGTGTCCAGTGGGATAGCCCTGATTTTAAATTATCATCCATAGATCTTATAGCCTGGTGTGTTGCTTCTTCTCATCTGTTCTTTTTACCAAGAAACACACAGTCAAGTTCACATTACCATATGTCCTTGTTTTATTCACATAATAAGTTCATATGATCTTTTTAATTAGTTGTTAACAGGCCCGCCATGTGTCTTGCTCATGTCCAGGACAAGGCACGCTCCACAGCAAGCGCACAGCAAAAGCTACACAGTTAATCCAAATATACTAAAACTAACTGTAGCCCCACCACCAAAATTCAATCATAGAGAGATGGGTAAACTCATTTATTGATCTGAACATAGGCTACTTTATGTCAGTTTACATGGAAAAACATATTACTGGTACCTTAAATAGCCCAAGCCTGTGCTTCTCCCTCCCTCTCCTCCCTGGCACAGCTAGCCTCCCCCGCTCTATTGGGTCTGTCTCTCCTCTCTGATATAACTACCATCCCAACACTCAACTGTTTCTGTCAGAGGATGCATTGTGTTAGCATGGAAACAAGCTAATAATTGAATATTAAAGGTAAAGCTACGTGGTATTTATTAGTAGCTGTGTTTGCCAGATGTTTAAGCTAAATGGATGTCTCTCAATCCACTCGATCTGCTGTACTTGTACTTAAATTTTCATCTTCCATATTTATTATATACCTGGCCATAAAGTCCCTTGCATTTCTGCTGTCATTTTTTCTTTTTTGTTTTTCTTTTGTTTTATGAGCAGCTGACTTAGTGACTGGCCATTGATGAAGTTTACTGAATGTGTGAACGACCCATTACAGCAGTGTTGTTTTGACCAACTATGTCACGGAAGATTAGAGAGATAAAAATATCAAGGTTTTACATGATTCACAAATACTATATGAAGTTTCCACAATTGTGTATTTTTAATAAATTGCTTCAGAAGATTGTTTAAAGACTAGAGGGCCATTTTGGGCACCTTGTTGACCCAGGTCCCACATCAGCAGCCCTGCTTGTCAAAGCAGGTTGTGTTACTTATAATCCTCAGAGACACTTAAAACAAGAAATAGCATTTGGATTTTCACTTTACAGCTGAGTGTTTAGAGTTTTAGTCTTTTGATTAAATACTGTAGGTTGAGTGTGGGCCGGCACAGCAGTGCAGTGATTAGCGCTGCGGCCTCACAGCAAGAAGATTCCAGGTTTGAGCCCCGGTCGACCTGAGGTCTTTCTGTGTGGAGTTTGCATGTTCTCTATGTGCCTGCATGGATTCTCTCCGGGTGCTCTGGCTTCCTCCCACAGTCCAAAGACATGTAGCTTAGGTTGATTGGTGACTCTAAATTGCCTGTAGGAGGGAGTGTGTGTGGTTGTTTGTCTACATGTCAGCCATGTGATAGACTGGCGTCCTGTCCAGGGTGTGCCCCGCCTCTCACCCAATGTCAGCTGGGACTGGCTCCAGCCCCTTTGCAACCCTCTTCAGGATAAGCGATATAGATGATGGACGGATGGATGGATGCTGAGTGATTAGCATGTTCTAAATACTAAGAG